TTTCATATCAGCTACCCTTTATCCCTGCCCTCCCCCAGCCTACCCCCCAGAAACTCTCGTTGTTAAATTAAATATTACTTATTTATTTGTTTATTTGTGCTGAATTTTACACCATACAATATATCTGTTCACCTACCATTCTGTTCATTCATCCCCCTCCAGGGTTATATAGCTATCATTGCCATCAGGAGGTATAAATACCTGCCCCCCCCTTTCTGTACCCTCAACGAATCATTATGCCATGATTATTTTTGAAGGGTTTATCTATCTTGGAATTCATGTATCAAACATTCTTAATTATACAAATGAACATATGCAAGTCTAACAGGATTAATGAACTAAAACTAAGATCATAATAGTCGGGGAAGAAGTATTAAAGAACTAGTGGGTAGTTAACTGTTTCATCAGTGCTATACTGCACCCTGGATGATACCATCCCTTCCTTCCGTGAGGCCCTTCTGTGAGGGACTGCCCGCATTTCTTAGGCTCTTCACCACCACGAACTCCCTCGTTCCTCGTCATTCAATACACACACCAAGGTTAGCCCACCAGGGGAGAAGGCAACACTCTCTTCCTTACTGAGCCACAGAACTTTGGAAATTAGATAGGAAAAGTATAGACTCTTGTTTTCCATCCTACTTTTAAATGTTAAATTATGCATTCCAATGAAATGGGACAACAGAGGGTGGGACATGGTGGTGTAGGAACCACGTGTAAGCCCCATCTGTCCCACCCTTTAAAAAACCAAACTCAACTGCCATGGCGTGGGTGCAGACTACGTGTCCCCTCCTGCCTACAGGAGAAAGGCGGGGGACGGGCGAGCACCCTCCAAAAGCACACTCTACAGCAGGAGTAATGAGAACCAGGGAAAAAACTAAAGAAATGTTCAAAGATTAATAAAACACATTTTAAATTTTTAGTAGCCATCAAACCTAAAATCATATAGATGGCATTTTCAAGACCAACAAAAAATGCCTTCTCCTAAAATTGACATGGCATTGATTTGTTTCGAAATTTCAAAGAACACTAAAGAAAAACATGGAGTTTTATGCATTTGTCAAAGGGACACAAGTTTCAAAAAGGAAAACACACACACCACCTGAGACCGAGGAGGCCTGTGGGCTGCAGGACGCCGCTCGAGTCGGTGCTCCCCGGGAAGGAAAGGGGCTGGGGGTGAAATGAAGATTTGGTTTGGGTTCCGATTCTATAGCTTACATAAGAAAATACACCAGCCTTGTCAGTTAAAGATGATCCCATTCGTGAAACTGAATTCCTTAGAGCAGTGGTTCTCAACCTTCCTAACACCGCAACCTTTTAATACAGTTCCTCATGCTGTGGTGACCCCCTCCCAACCATAAAATTATTTTCATTGCTACTTCATAACTTAATTTTGTTATTGTTATGTATCAGGCAACCCCTGTGAAAGGGCTGTTTGACCCCCTCCCAAAGGGGTCGCAACCCACAGGTTGAGAACCACTGCCTTAGAGGTTTACACAAAGAGAAAACGATACAATACTAATTCCTAATTACAGGACAGAAATAGAAACCTAAAGCCCGCCAATAGAGCAAACCGACTTTTTACTCTATCCCTCCACTTGTTTAAGGAAAGACTTTCTGTACGAGGGAGAATCCCACTGGCCTTTGTTAAAATAAAAAGGACAAGGAATTCCCAGGAAAGGTTTTGAACATTTCAGTTATAAAATACAGTAACATTCTCCTTACAAAAACAGCAAAGCAGGAAATCTAATAAGAATGATCCCCAATTCTTATTAGAGACTGGCACAGGCTTGTCCATTGTTTTCACACTGTACAGTATAAAGTCCAGCAAACAGTTCATGGGGGGTTTATAAGACTGGCCAAGAACCTGGTTCAGATCACATCAGCCAGACAGTGAAGTGCACTCTACAAGTTTCGGGCACCTGGCGAGGGAGGGGCCCGCAGCTTCCAGAGTGCTCAGGAAGGACGAGGCTGCTGTTTGCATTCAGTTATGGTTGCTTGTTTGTTGCAGCTAGCCTTTAAGAAAATTATCAGCAACAGGTCAAATGTCATCTGTTCTGTACCATTTCTTCCAAGTCTCCCAGGAAGTTAATGTTTCTTTTATGGCCCCGTATCATGGGGTGCATACTGTTATCATCTTACAGAACACTTTCTCTCGTCCACGTGCTGGTGTCCCCACTAGGTTGAAGGGACGGGATCCCTCTCTTCATCTGACATCATCATGCCTAGCACACTTCCTGACATACAGCTGGGGCTTAGTAAGTACTGGGGGAATGAATGAATGAATGAATGAAGGACAAGTGAAGCAATGACCCACACAGATTACAAACAGATGCCTAGATTCTCCTAAGGTCTCACAGGTTAAAAAAAGGTCAAGGACGATTTTTTTGGGGGGGAGGGATGTGGTTCTTTTCAATTCTTTTTTTTTAATCATTTTATTAGGGGCTCATACAACTCTTATCACAATCCATACACACATCAATTGTATAAAGCACATTTGTACATTCATTGCCTCATCATTCTCAAAACATTTGCTCTCCACCTAAGCCCCTGGCATCAGCTCATTTTTCCCCTCCCTCCCTGCTCTCCCCTCCCTTGATACTTTATAAATTATTATTTTGTCATATTGAGTTAGTTAATTGTGCCAGCCTGGCCGATAATCACGTGGGGCTGGTTGAAAGGCGGAGGGATAAATGGGTGGTGAAGCCTCGCCTTTCTAGTTCTCGGGTCTCTTGTTTTGTGATGTTGCATCGGGTGCAGCTGCCTTAGCAGTTCCCTGCTTCAGCTTGCAAGATGGATTTCCTACAAGACATCCCCAAGGAGAAGCCGCATGGATCTATCCCGATGCAGCCCTGGGTGCTGGAGCAGCCGTGTGGAAACCCCTGCCAGTGCTGAGATGCGTACACGTTCACTGACTCAGCTTTCCTCCTGCAGTCAGCATTATTGCCTCTGTTTTGTGAGGTGAAGGACTTTGTGGACTGGTGTTGGGTATGGGTTAATGTTGGACTTGTGGGCTTGGACAGCATTGGGTTGGGGTGTTTTCGTGGTGCACATTTTCTTTGCATAAAACTCTCTCTTATACATGAGTTACTGTGGATTTGTTTCTCCAAAGTACCCAGACTAATACACATATCTTGCCCTGTTCGACGTCTCCCTTCACCCACTCTTCTGTTGTCCATCCCCCAGGGAGGAGGTCACATGTAGATCCTTATAATCGGTTCCCCCTTTCCAGCCTACCCTACCTCCACCCTCCCAGTATCGCCACTCACACCACTGGTCCTGAAGGGATCATCCGCCCTGGATTCCCTGCGTTTCCAGTTCCTATCTGTACCAGTGTACACCATCTGGTCTAGCCAGACTTGTCAGGTAGAATTGGGATCATGATAGTAGGTGGGGAGGAAGCATTTAGGAACGAGAGGAAAGTTGTATGTTTCATCATTGCTACATCGTACCCTGACTGGCTCGTCTCCTCCCCGAGACCCTTCTGTAAGGGGATGGGCCAAGGACAATCTTTATGCAATGGTTAAGCATGAGGCTGACATTCAATTGTAATTGAAAGGTTAGGGGGTCAAACCCATCCAGCAACTCCTCTGTAGAAAAGACATGTAATCTTCTGTAAAGATTACAGCTTTGAAAAAAAAAAAAAAACCCACTGGGGCGCAGCTCTCCTCTGTGGCATGGGCTTGCTGTGGTTTGGAATCAACCCCAAGGGACCTAATTAACTGTCCTTCCAGAATGTCCAGAGCGGGGGGTGGGGGTGGGGGGGTGGGGGGTCCGAAAGACGAGTACCGCAGCCCCAAGACTACAGATTTGGGAGAGGGGTGCTTTTCCTCAGTAGTCTGATGATGCATAGGGAGCGAAGCGACAAAGTCAGTGTGCCCGCCTGTTACCGCCAGCATTCACTCACGTCTGACTCAGCGACCCTCGCTAGGATTTTCTCAGACTGTAAACCTTCACGGGAGCAGCCAGACTCTCTTTGTCTCACCGAGCAGGTGGGGGCTTGAACCCCTAAGTCTGGTTCGCAGCCCAACACCTAACCCTGTGCGCCACCAGGGTGCCTTGTTAAGAAATAAGGTGCCCGCCAGTCTCTATATTTCTGGCCAGCTTCTGTCTTGCAAAACTGACCCTCTAATACAAAATTACCACAAGCATAGGTTCTAGATGGCTTTTCTTTTTCACTTTTGTGAAAACGTATGCTTTCCTTTAATATCTATAGGTAATTTCCAGTTTGTCCATTTTGTGTGGAAAAAAGAAAAATATCATACACATCATTTGACGTATCACAAAATAAGTCACAGAAGAAGAGAAAGAAATGTGTCCAAAATTTTTCAGTTAGTCCATTATTTATTCCTCTTAAAGGGGATTAACTGTTTGTAAATATTTTTTAGTACACAATGACATAATTAACAACTAAAGTTATCCTGTCTCCTTCAAAATAACTTACATATAATCCAAGTACACTGACGTGACCCTTGGGGGCTCTATGGTGTCCTCCTTCCCCGACAATCTGAGTAAGCGGCTAACTTTCATGTGGTCACTGATTTTCAGATTGGGCTCTTTGAAGCCCGAGAGTGTGTGTGAGTCTGGGAGAGAGGTATAGAGAGAACTAAGAATCTGCACCTCCCCATGAAATGAGTTCAAAAACCACAAGACTACAGGATTAAAGAATCCTGGAATATTCCAAAATCCTATTTTTCCATTTATTTCCCTTATTAAAAGATTTATTCATCACACATTTCACATCGGAATATTCCAATACCAAATGTACATACTGTCTCCTCAAAATCACCCAGGTAGTACCCTACCCTAACACTAAAGGTGTCGGTCGGTGGCAGCTGCCCAGCTTGTAGGGTGACTACGGATGAAACTCGGCTGCCAGACAGCAGAGGCTAACAATCTGTTCCCCAGGAGGGAGCCAGCCAATGATCCCGCCAAAGTCCTCTTTAACATAATAAGTATTCAAAAGACATCTTTAAAAAGCCTAATTCTTACTCTAAAAATACCTGAACTATAAATTGTAACTCTCTTCTCTCTGCTTCCCATTGTTCCGCTTGTAATCGAAACTCCTCCAGGGCTGTCTCTCGGACCTGAGACTCTATGACGTCCTTCGCCTGCTGTTGAGTTTCCAAGGATTCCTGGGGAGGAAGAGAATCCTGCTTCATGATTCAGTCACCAAAGCTTTTCCTTCGTCCTCTACCCCCGTTTGAATAAAAGAGCATTCCTTGCACAGACTGCTGAACCTCACTGTAATTCTGCATGTTAAAATATCCAAATGAAACTTTGATCATCAGAATGTAGATCGGAATAAGAAACTATGGCTATCTGTTTAATGTAGATGAATTTGTAGGGTGGCGGTGTGTATAGCAAGATGAAGCTGTCTGTTCCATAAAGACTGACAGTCTCAGAAAAACCAGATAGTCACTGGGAGTCAGAGTAGGAAGCCTGGAGACATAGCAGTTAGGCTTGGGCTGCAATCTGATCCGTATGGTCGGCAGTTTGAAACCACCAGCAGCTCTGAGGGAGACAGACTGGACTTTCTACTCCCGAGAACAGCTACAGTATCCGAAACCCACAGGGGGTGCTAGGAATCAGCACTGACCCCATGGGCTGAGTTTGGAGAGTCACAGTCAATTCAACCGCCCTGGGTCTCTAGCAATGGGAGGTGGGATAAATAATACACGGACATCTATTCTGATCCAGTTTGAACCAAGTGCACTGAGTGATAATGAGACAAAATGGCTCCAGTGAGTTTGGCAATCTCTAGGGACATGGCTGTGTACAAACTGTGCGGATCATCCCTTTAATTCCTTATACATCAAACGGGAACAATGTATGAGGCAGATTCAAAAAGTTCCTGGGAAACTGGGGTTAAAAGATTATGAAATTATTCCATAAGCTTTTTTGCAGCGCCTTGTATATCCAAATGGGGAGTAGGGGGGAATTATACACAACAAGCCAGGATGAGGAAATCTCAGAAAGTTAAAAATGAGGATGCAGAGTGACTGATGGTTGAGAAATGCTGTGAACATCATGCATCTTCCCTGCAAGGGCCAAGACATTCCACTTGGTGGGGGCAAAATAGGGCCCTCTCTTTTACCCAGGGACTGGTAGTCTGGCCTCCCGTAAACATCCTCCATCCAAACGCGTGCCCAGGCAATGTCGTAGGGTCTAGGACACAGTTGTAAACAAGGGACAGGCTCTAAAAAAACCAAAACAACTCACTGCCACTAAGTCAATGCTGGCTCAGAGGGAGCCTCTCCGACAGGGTAGGAATGCCCCTGTGGGTTTTTAAGATTGCAGCTCCTCTTGAGAGGAGGGAGCCCTGTTTCCTCCCACAGTGTGACTGGTGCTTTCCAACTGCTGAGCATGCGGTTTGCAGCCCAATGTGCACCCACTAAGTGCCAAGAGCTCCCTACCTAGAGGCGAGGAGAGAAGATCTGCTAAGATCCCTTTGGCTGGGAGCCCTTTGCCCAAACTTCCACAGTTAGTAAACGCTCTAATAAAACAACTTGTTCAGTAAAAATACATCTCCAGAATATTCAGCAAAGCTATTTGCACCAGGGGTAAATGTATAGCTTTCTTATCTTTTGTTTTTTTTGGTCATTGGTTTTGGTTTTTTTAATTAAATAATTTTATTGGGGCTCGTCCAACTGTTATCATAATCCATACATCCATCCATTGTGTCAAGCCCATTTATACATTTGTTACCATCATAAAAACTAATACTTAAAAAAAAAGTTAAGTATACACAATTTAAGATCCTTCTTCTAAGGAGCTAGTAACAGAAGCGTTCAGCCACATTATCATTTCTTTTTTACTCTAGGGAGTAAAAAGAAAAAACCTGGAGAACTAACACAGAATAACTTTAGTAAACAGTCATTAAATATTTCACATCATATAGCTATGTAGAATATGCTCTATATAGATCATAAAGTTTGTATCAGATATGCAAGGTATTCTTCTATATGTATTGCATATTCAGACAGAATTCTACTACCTGTATATATAATTCTAAATTTCCATACTGCTGGACCCAATGGACTACAGGCTTTACTGCTTCCTATAAGATGCTCAGGTAAAGTTTTTCAAAATCTTTTTTCATCTCAAATTGGCTTTTTTGCAAAAGAAACTACATGTTACACATTGCTAAAGTATAGGATAAAAGAGGCCAGCCAGTTAGATTATCCCTGTTAAGGAGAGGGGTAGGAAGGAAAGGTAAAGATGAAGGTTAAAAACGAGAGAAAGAACAGAAATCAGACATTCTAGTTTTCTAGCAGCCACATTCCTTTCCAAGGGTAACTTCTGGCCACGTCTAAACCACTTGGTTCCATAAACACCACCCAGAGAAATCCCATTGCAAGGACTACTTTACCTGTAGCGTGTTCTCCAGTAGGATTTTTTCCTTCATCAGTACATCATATTCTCTATTGCAATTTTGGATGATATTGTCTCTTTCCTCCAAATCATGTTCAAATCTTCTACACTCTTCTTTCCACTTCTGCTGAGAATTCTGGAAGACTTTCTCTATCTCGTTGACCTTTCCCTGAAGTTCTGAATTCTGAGCTAGTCAAAACATAAAAGATACAAACCACCATGTTGACAGCCAGGAGGCAAATCCCTAGAAGCCCACAAAGTGAGGCCCTGGAGCTGATCCCACTGTTGGCAGTGCGCTCTCAGGCCGAAAATTTACCCTCTCCACCCCAGTAACCCTTGAAAAGCCCACTGTCACTGGGCCAATCTAGTCTATAATTCCACAATCAATTATTTCTCTTCTGACAAAGGTGACTTTGCTGTTCCAGGGTGTGACAGACACCTAAGAGTCTTCTCAAGGGCCCACGTGGAATGAAGGCACCTGGGTGCTGGCTCTCGGGGAAGCTCCTGGAAAAAGCAAGCTGGCAGGAATGCTTCCAGTGTTCCGCATCCAGTATGCTCGCTGCCTTCCCGTGTTTGCCCCAAGACAGAGATCCCCTGTTCTTGCCAGTCTGGTGACACTGAGACTAAGGAACCAGGCACAGGCCCACGGCAGTGTGCGTGTGGGAAGGGGACTAAGACCTGGCTGCCACTCGAGTTTTCACTGAACTTTCCTCCACAGCCACTCCCTTTCCCGTTTCCAGCAAGTCATCCGTCAGTTTTCCTCACAAGCGGCTTAGGAGTCTGCAGTCTCAGGCCTGTTAATTCCGTTATCCCTCACCAATTTGCTTCCTCTCTTCCAATAATTCTCTTGCCACCTCTCTCAGTCCCTCAGTCACTGTGGGGCTTTTTTTTTTTCTTTAATATTCTGTATCTCCATTAGTTTGTTTTTTTAACTCCAATCCCAAAATTTATTATATAAATATTAAAAATCACAGAAAGTTTGAAGTATTTTTCAGCAAACACCCAGCACTTGGATTCTATAACTGTTACCATTGTGCTATTCTTCCTTTATCCCACATCACCCATCTATTCTGGCCATCACTTCATCTATCCATCCTTCCGCCTTATAATACTCTCTGATGTTTTGCGAGGAAAGCTGCCAGCCTCAGAGCTTTCACTCCTATGTAATTCAGTATGCCTATCATTCACCATGTCAAGATAGATTTACCTCTTTGGTGAGTAAAATGTACATACAGTGAAATGTAGACATACTACGTGTACGGTTCACAGACACACACAGTTCCAGATATTTACCAAGTACACGTATTCTCATGTACCTCAAACCAAAACCTACTCACAGCTATTCCAGCCTATATGGTACCTGAGAGAGCACATCTTTGCACAAAGCAGCTCCTGGGTTTGGGCCACTGACGTTGTGGTTCACAGTGCAATGCCTGATCCACAGTGCCTCCAGGAGTCCCCATATACCTCAAGCCCCTGCCAAAAGAGGCTTCCATCAACCCGAAAAGTTGTGTCATTACGTCTCCTAGTCAACACTCATTGCCAAACCACCCCAGAAAGTTCACTTTTCTAAATTTTTTTCCACCAAAATTAGTTTTCCATGTCCTAAAACTTCATAAAAATGTACTTCTATAGGGCATCCTCTCCTGGGTAAAATTTCTATGGTTCCATTTTATTGCCGGGGATGATATCATTTTGTGAATATAACACAAACTATTTCTCCATTTTCATATGCATGAAATTGGAGGGGTTTCTTTCCCCCCCTCCAATTTGAGACCATCATAAATGGAACTGCTATGAAATTCTTGGCTGTTGTTGCGTCTCTTGGGGGAAATACCAGCATGGAATTGTTTGGGCACAGAATAAATGCATAGAGAAGGGCTTCAAAAAGTCCATGGAAAATGGAATTTTCCACAGAATTTCAGAAGCCCACTTGTATTTATTTTACAAGAAATTGCCAAGCTGTATTTCAAAGGGAGGAGCCCAGGGGGTGTAGTGGTAGGCATTGGGCTGCAATCTGCAAGGTCGGAAGTTTGAAACCACCACCCGGTCCACAAGAAACAGAGCGGCCTTTCTACTCCCATAAACTGTTCCAATCTCAGAAACTCACAGGGCAGTTCTACCCTGTCTTCTGAGTCACTATGAGTCAATACTGACTCATAGCATTGAGTTTCATTCCAAAATGGTTGGACCAATTTACACTCCCACCAACAAGCCATTCAATTGCTCTACATCCTCTTAGACCTTGGACCTGATTGGTGCCAAGACAGATGAAGAACTCCAAGCGAAATCCTTCAGCTAATACATCCTTAATCCCTAACCCACATAAGCAATAAACTTATAAATGTTTGCAACACTAGCTGCTAACCATTGGGATAATTAGTGGGCAGGAACTGAAATGTGCTAATACTTTGAGAACACTTATCTCTAGTGAGTAGTCTAATCGGCAGGTTGTTTGTACAAAGGTGTCCTTTTAATCTTCTAAACAAACATGTCTAACTGCATAATATTCGGTAAATATTTTTAAGTGGGAGAGAGATACAGGGATATGTCCAAGGAAGGTTGGGTCCACCAAAGCTAAACAGGAGTGAGTACCTTTCTCCTACTCTAGGATCTGACACAAAGAGAAAGCCTTCCACTAGAATGCCCAGAATGCAGACTTCTAACTGTGGCATTCTTGGCTCCCTAAACCAGGAGAGAATAAATTTCTGTTTGTTAAAGCCATCTACTTAAAATAACAAACTAAAATAAAGTCATTCACTTGCGATATTTCTGTGATCGCAGCACCATACAACTAAGACAGAATGTGGTACCAGGAGTGGGGTGTTGCTCTAGCAGATATCTAGTGTTGAATCTGCAATTGGATAATGCAAAAAACCTAGAAGGGTTTTAAGGTGCATAATAATAAAATAGGTTACCTTGAAGAGACTATTGATAGGATTATAGACATCAAAGGTAATTCTGGTGAGGACTCAGAAGGAAGTGAGGAGATCAGAGACCATTCAATGGTGAGACACAGTGGCACGAAGCAGAGTTGCTACCCCAGTAAACCTGGAAGAACTAAAACCCAGAGCCAAGCAGCCTCCACCCAGAATCCAGAGCCAACACCCAGAGTCTGGAGGACAGGACCATCATCCAAATGATCTCAGAGAACAGAGCATGATTTCAGGCCTTGAGAGCTAATGTAAATTGTTCTGCTGGGATTTTTAAGTCCTTGGTACCTGTTATCTGTTCTTTCTCTTCAATTTCTCCAGTTTGCAACAGAAATGTCTACCTTGTGACTGTTCCACCACTGTGTTTTAGAAACATGTAGCATGTATTCTAGATTAACACATGAAGAGGAATTTTGCTCCAGGATAAAATTTGAACTTTGGGGATGCTATGATAGAGTGAAAGTAGCAAGGATATAAAGCTTGGGAGGTACGAAAATGTATCCTCCCAAAATACTCATCAGGTTGGCTGGGCCATAATTCTCAGTGGTTTGGCAGTTATGTAATGATGGAATCACCTACACAGTATGATCGGCCAGTCCATTATAAGGCGATTAGGGTAGGATGCAACAGTCTTGAGCCCATGTAAAGAGTTTCCCTATAGTGTAGCCTACATCGCCTTTTATTTTACAAGAGTTAAAAGGAGAGAGTAGTGAGCAGAGAAAGGAGGACATCAGACCCACCAAGAAGAGCAGCGAGCCAAAAGTCCCCTTTGGTGTGGAAAACAGATTTTTCCCAAGTTGTCTCCCCCAAATATATGCCAAACTTAGCTGCTTGCTACACGTGGCAAATGACTATACACTTGGAGGTCAACA